CAGTGCCTGCAGGAGAACAACGCGGGTGTTGCAAGTGTCCTGCAAACACCAGGGAATCCTGCCGCAGGCCTCAGCGAACACCTGCCCGCGGCCCTGATGCTGACTCGACCCCTGCCCCAGCATGCAGGGGACACTGCAGGGAGTGGGGGACACTGCAGGGACCCTGCAGCATGTGGGGGGACACTGCAGTGAGCAGGGGACACTGCAGGGACACTGCAGCACGCGGGGATTTGGTCCTTAGGCCTGAGTTTTTCTGGATGCACTCCTGCCTTTTCAAGCCCAAGTTAATCGGGATCTAAGGAAGAACGTTCCTACATAACACCCCCTATATACTAAATCTGATTAGAAATTCAATAATTTACCTGCTAGCTAGAAAAACTGTGGGTAGGAAAATAGAGCTTCTGACCCTCATTTTCCCTGGAGATGGATTTTTTTTTCCCCTACAGTATTTATAAATCATCTATTTCATCCAATGGAACAAAAGTAATACCTTTCCTTCAACACGGACTCCTGCTTTTCCCAAGTGGAAGCGAAGAGGGCTCCCTCTGCTATGATTAATCATACCATAAGCTAAGGTTTCCCAAGCAGCTCGCTGAGAGCACTAGGAAGCTGTTCTCCCATCGCATTGATGTCTTGCCTCTTTCATCTCCAGGATCCCTGGAAGGTGCTAATGAGCCCCTGCTCCCTCTGCTCCATTTGCTGCATCCTGCTCAGGCACCCGGCGCTGCCCTCTCCGGCTCGCACCCTCCGCATTCCCAGCTGGAACCCATAAAAACTATCTCAGCAGCTCTTAGCGTGAATAGTGGATATTTGAACTGCAGCCGAGTGGAGGAAACTGCAGGAAACTACTCCCTCCTTAGAAATTTCAAAGTAGGCCTCTTCAAAGTGGTCTTTAAGTGTCATTAAGGACACTTCATATACATGAAAATACTGTTCCTGCTTCCCACGAAGAGCATTAATGCTGCCTGCTCCAGCTACTGGCTACTCCCACAGCTGCCTGCATTTTTCAATCAACTCTCATTAGTCTTATTATGTCAGGAGACCACTGCAAAGTTTATATTTAGCACCGTAAATTGACTAGGCAGAAGTAGCATCAAAAGATTTAAAAGGAGAGACTGCATGTCGTGGGATGCGTACAGAGGAAAATCTGCAGCTATAAATGGGCAAGGGAAAAACTGCAACGGCTGAAAAATTGTGCTGTATCTGTGATTATGTGAAAGAAACGATTAGATGAGCAATAAAAATGGAAGGAGGGATGTTAGATCCTGTCTCACAGCAAGGTGCGTTCCCGAAGCCGCCGCTCCAGGCTCTGCTGGGGCTCGAGAGGTTTAGGATGTGCAATGTGGAGCTGAGTGGTGACACACGGGCTCTGCAGAGGGTGACACACGGGCTCCGGGAAGAGCAGCGCGAACCCGGCCCTCGCAGCCACCTCTTTGGCAAGAGCAAAGCCACAGGGAGCGTTTGCAGGCAGTCACATGAAGCCGGGGAAGCTGCAACGCTCCTTTACGGCTTTGGCAGCGGCAATAACTCACACTTCAGCAAAAGTGCACAGTCCAAGGAACTTCAAAACGTGGACCAGAGAAACGAAAAGCCCTGCAGAACATGCACACTGCAAATCCTGAGGCTTTTGTCCTCTTGAAACACTGGAATATTTCAGTCGGGAACCAAAAAGGGTTAATAACTTCAAAAAAGTTTGTGGAGAAAACAAACAAACACCAACAAAAAAAAAACAAGGACACTGGTGCTGACTGGAATTTCCTACACATTAATTTTATATTGTGTAAACTCACCAGCTGGAATTGATTTTCACTAAGATCCAAATGAGGTAAAACATATAATTCTTTTTCCTCCTGATTTATTTTAATAAAGTGACAAACTAGTGCTATGTTTGATGCTTGTACCAAGAAAATACTGTTTTCTGTTTCAAAAAGAGCATTTTGATGATCACCGGGCTACCCAGCTTTACTCCCCAGCCAGCAGTGAGTGCCATATGGAAGGAGCCCACATCTGCATATGGATTTTTGTGGAAGGCCATTTAATCATCAATTTTGGAAGAAGGGGGACACTAAAAACGCCTGAGCCAACCCCTGCAAAACCCCTCTGGATATCCACATCCAATACCTCATTGCTTCTTAAGAACCGCTTCACTACAGAGTGACTGCTAGATTTTATTACTAATAAATAAATAAAAAGCTGACTTGCTTAGGTGATATTTTAGCAGTTCATTAATATTTTGCCAGCAGAACCCAAACACTGGGAATGAGTTTCATATACCACGCTGTGCTTGTGTTTCCTCCCCAGAACATCTACTGCTTCTTCATAAACACACACGAGGCAGCTTCCAAAGATCCCCTCAAAAAGGACAGCGAAAACGAGCACTTACAGATGTTTGTTTGCAGGACAAGAACACGGATACCTCTGGATACCTCTCCTGTAAGTGCTACTAGTGGAAAGGTCCTGATGAAGCTGCACGCACATTGGAAGCCTGTGTGGAGCTACACACATTTTCAGCGCTGCCAATAGGGACCAGCTGGAGACCGAAACGTAGAACACGAGTACAACCGTCTGGTGTCCAGTTCCGTCACAGCGTTCTAGCTTAAGAAATGAATTAAATCCAGATTTTCAGGAGATAGGCCAGAAAGCTATACATAGATACGGTCTTTAATGCTTTGGAATAAGATATGCGGTTTAGAGGGAGGAATATCAGTTCATTCTAAAATCATTTAATTTTACTGAAAGATAAAATCAAATCACTGCCTTATTATGCCCACATGTTCTGAAGAAAGCTGTTGATGTCATTATGTAGACTGAAATTTGTGGCAAATTAAATTTATGCAGAAAATACTGTATTTTTTATCTCCATCTGGAGAAGGGGCTGATAAATCAAGTGTACAAGCTTTGAACTGTATAAGAAATACGATAGCAAATTATTTTTCATAGTACGTAATGTACATACAATCCTAGATAAAGGCTGACCAGGGATTTCTATATGCAATACTGGCTACTTTTATACTTACAAATATCAGTTCTGAAAGGAACTGATAGGAAGGAATGACTAAGGAACTGAAAGGAATGACTAAGGGAGTAGAAAAGCTCCCAAACAAGGTCTCTGAGAAGCCTGGAATTTTTTATCTTAGAAAACAGACCAATAAAAAGCATCATAAAAAACAAACAACACATTGAGAAACTAAAAATGAAAATAGTGACTAAAAACATCTTTTGCTGATCCGCTAAGAAAAGACAGCAATTCTCCATGAAGTTAAAAGGTGGGAAAGACTGAGAAAGGGGACGTGTTTTCCCAAAGCGCGTAATCACACCCTGGGACACGCTGCTTACGGGAACTACTGAAGCAAAGGAGTTTAACTGAGTTTCCCTTCTTCAGCCCTGTAATCACAGCTCTGCAGGGCTGTTGCAGCAGCACAATGACCATGATACTAAAGTATCATGAATGATACTTAGAATGATACTAAAGTGCACGTTTCAAAGCTCAGGAGATTCCCTTATCAGGATCAAGGTCCTCCTAGACAAGGAGGAGATACAGGAACCTGCCCTGCAGCTCCAAAACACAACCCGAACCCGGAGCTACCCGGCACGCCTGGCAGGGACCTGGCAATCCACTGCCAGGAGCTAACTCCACAGTTCTGAGAATTCCCTGTGCCAGGAAGGGAACTACAGCAGCCTGGGATGAAGCAGCACCCGACGGGTACCACCCACACGGCATTTTTCATCCGGTAGAAGGAAAAAAAAAATAAAGACATATTTCCATACAAACAGAATGTCAAACTATAGTTGAGAGGTAGTTATTTCTGCATTAAGGTTATTTTATTTTTATTTTCCTTCTGAAAAGTGCATGTAAAATATGCTTATATTTTCCTCTTCCTCAGTTAGGTAGCATGTTTATTGTGAAAATTGAAGAACAAAAAAAGATAAATAATAAATGATCTGGCTGCCTTAGGCTTACCAGTACTTGTGCCTATTTATTTAAAAAAAAAAGAGAGAGATAATAAGACATTTCTACCTAGAATATGTAAATAAGTAAATAACAAAATACAGAATATTCTAAAATGCTTTTTAACATTTTTGAATCGTAATGTAACTTCAATCTCAATCGAAACATACAGGTGTGTATTTAGACTAAATCCATCCCTGTGAGGGGCCTAGTGAGAACCTTACATGCTACTTTGATCCTCAAAATAAGTCTACAAAGAACAATCTTGCTGGATAAGTTGCTGTGTGATACCTGTGGTCGTCTACTTCTCAGTCTCACCTCCAGCATTATCACTGCAACTGCAGGATTAGCAAAACTTGTTCATCACGACTAGCAGTAAGCACTACTCTGAAATTTGAAATTACATACTGTGCATTAGACAGCACGGTAATTACTGTGCCACTGCGATGACTCATGATGCCTGGAACAGCACAACTTCTATATGCTCCAAATGCCTCTAAAATGTCTTTGAGCCAGCGCTCTGAATGCCATGCTGCTTTAAAAAGAACACCATTTCAAGCAATACTAACTAAAAAACCATAATAGCCTTTTTGTAACAGGTTAATGTCTCAAAGCTGAAAAGACCACATAATTTTAAGTGTTATCACTGTTCTTACAGTTTTCAAGAGGGCTTTCTAGATTCCTGAGGCAGAGTATTGAGACCAAATCATGAAATAGACTCAAGTTTGATCAGTCTAAGAGAAAACAGCCTTAGTTCAATACCATTTTCTTTTCCCGTGAGTGTTTTGCACAGCAATTCCAGAGCCTTCTCCCCGACACTTGTAGGTAACATTGACAGATAACAGCACAACTATTATTATCACCATCTTCACTACTGCCCTCCCTCACTTTTTCTTCCACTCCATCTTCCTGACTGTGCAACACGCATTTTTTTATGAGGGCCTCATTTGAGCCAATTAGTACTCTCACAATAATAATTATAGATGCTTTTAAAAAAAAAAGGCATTTCATTTTGTTTGGACCTTGGTTTGAGGCATCAAAAACCTCTTACCTAACGTTTCTTTTTGTAGTTCCCGACACCTATTTTGCAGCTCACTCTCCTGCTGACGTGAAGCTTGAAGCTGTTGTGTTTTCAACTCGACAGTATCAGCCACCAAAGTGAGACGTTTCACCTTTTCTTGGAGGGACTCATTCTCTCTCTGGGATTTTGACAGTCTTTGATTCAATCTGCATATTTCTGGGGAGAAAAAAAAAAAAAAAACATATAGATGGTAAGCAAATTTACTCTCTTCATTATCTTACCTGATTTACAACCTCAGGACCTTCAGCAGTCTAGTTTTAATTAGGGCACGGGCTATGAGGAGCCGTTTGCACCACCACCCCTTCTGCTCAGACTTGAGGGCCAAAGCAACCACAGTGACCAACACCTCTCCCATGACTTGTTCTCAGCACCGAGGAGGAAAAATGCCACTCTTATGCCAAGCAATAACAGGCATTTTCTCTAAGATCTCAAAAACAAAATAAAAAATACGCATGCCTGCCAAATAATAGCAGCTGACAAATACTTGAATCTAGTATCTTAACAAGATATACAAACAACTAGTGACATACAAAAAACAACTGCAAATCCCGCTGAAATTAAACTGGGGAAGATTTCACAGTACTTCACTGCAGACATTCAAGGAAGCCAGCCCTGGTAAGCTTAATATAAAGCTTCAGAATGTCTTTAGGCATATGCATTATTTTTGTTTGCTCGTTTCATTACTTAGGGTGAATCCTGCTGTTAAAGCAATCAACGTGCATCTTCAAAACATAAAGGCCCAGCCTTTTCAACCTCTCATTCCTTAGCTCTCCAATTTGGAAGTGCAGCAGTTCCAGGGAAGCTTCCAGGGCACTCTCTATTGCAAGGCAATTAAGCCACTCGTGGGTGGGGTATAATGAGCCTCCTCCTACCTTTTCACAGGTTTTCCTGAGTTTAAGTTATCCTTAATGACTGTACTTATCATTTTCAAAAGCAGCTGCAATTGGTTTCTATTTTCTCCTCTCCCATTAAAGCCCTGGATGTTCAGATGTCCAAAGAAGTTATGCCACTTGGATAATTACTAGTAATTACAACGTTCAAGTTCGATGATTTAAAAGTTCAATTAGGTTTCATCTATTACATGGTGGTTTTTATTTTCTGCCCACAGGCAAATTTTAATTTTATTGCTGTAGTATAAATATTTTCATTAACTACAACCTTTCCTACCTACACCACATTTAAATAAATTTGTTCTTTTAGCTGATGTAAATACTGAAAGATTTTAAATTCTTACACTTCTTTCTATTTGACATTAATTAACAGAGAATGAAGAATGTCCATACACAAGGGTGTGGGAGACGTACAACACATATAATGGAGATCAGAATAACAATTGCTCAGAATTTGCAAGAATCATTTTCTTTGGGTAGATCTGCATTTTTGTGCTTCCATGGGATTCCATGAATCTGAAGGTCAAGGATAAAGTGAAAATTTCTAATAAGTGAACTGTGACATAAATAAGTGAACATCTGCAAAGCAAATCGCACTGGAGTGAAACAATTGCATAAATAAAGTCCATGTTCTGCATGCATCAATGATAAATAGTTTTTATTTGGAGGATAAATGTTTAAAAGAATCTGAAAAGTCTATTTAAAATGTCTTAAAATATTATGGATCTTTGCAAATGCCTGCAGAAATTTATCTATTTATCTAGGAGTAGGCAGGAAATAAGCATGGGAAGAGATTAATTCTTGGGGCCATCAACCCTTTCAGCGTTCAGTGCGAGCAGCTGATGAAGTCAAGCACCAAAATGCAGGATTTGGACACTGGCTTCTAGGCTGTGTTGTGGGCTCTGCTGCCTGGGAACGCGCCAGACTTGCTGCTCAGATTCAACTCCCTGCCTCTGCAGGTGATGCTGCCCACTCCCTCCTGCAGGACCGTCCTATTTATTTATTCCTATTGTGAAAAAGGAGCAAATATAGAGAGCCTTAAAAATCCCCTCCTTTTACTGGAAGAATGGACTACAGGGAACTATTATGGGGGAGCTTTTATTTTCTTATTCTCCAGGACACTCTGTATGCAAGCTGCACTGGAGCAGGGCATTAGCAGGGGCGTTCCCAGGGTTTCACCAGCACAGTCATTCGGGAGTGGCGTTGCCTAATACACCCCGATGTTTTCTCACAAGGACCTGGGAGGTGATATCAGCTCACCTGCTTCTTCTCTGCCTTAATAACTCAGAATAAATAAAGAAAGAAAATAAGAAAGCTCCAGGGCAACTAGCAGCTCAACAGAACACACTGAAGAACCACGAGGAAAGGAATTCACAGAGGAACGTTACGTCAAAGTCCAGCAAAGCTGCAAGAGTCAACCCAGGATGGTCTGGATGGTAGAGTCTGTAATTACCACACACTGCTCAGTGAAATTAGTCTCATAACTGGGGCACAGTGAAAATGGGACTCAAGCATAAATCCACGTTTGCAAGTGCAGCTGGCAGCGAGGGCTGAGGGCGGCCGCGCAGGAGGCGGCAGCGAGGGGAAAGCTGCAGCCAAGGGACATCCCCATCCCCATCCCGCTGCTCCACGCCAATTCCCAGGCCAAGGCCCCTCAGCCAAGCACACGCACATCCTTGGAAATACCTGCTGTTGCTCAGGTCCACATGGAGCACGGCTGGAAACACGTAAGGTGCAGGTTTGATACCACTCTCAAGTTAATTTCCCCTCCTAGTCTTACTGAACTACCACAAGTTACTTCAGCTTGCCTGGAGTATTGCAAGGTGAGGATTTACCTGCCAAAGCTTCTTTGCTAACTGCCTTTATTTGTAGAAAAATTTCTTCCTTCAGGGCAGCCCAGTTTTCTAGGTTACTAGATACAACCTCTTTAATGCTGTCTAGTTCACTCCGAATAAAAGGAAATAAGGAGAGCGCCTTGTTGAGAGTTGAGCAATGGTGTTCCAGTGTATTTCTGCAAGACACACAAAAAACAGACATACCTTTGTAAAAGCAAATAGACATGCAACAATCAATATTATAAATTTGGTAACTACTCTGTTATATTTTGTAGTAGAGTTACAAGAATTCAGTATATGGAATATGCTTTATATCAAGTATTTTTAAACTAAATTTCTTCTAAATGTTGATCTAAAACTTACATGTACAAATAAAATTGTACAGACAGCTGTACAATTACATTTTACTGCTTGAGAAGCTACAGCAACACCGTTTACATGTCTGTGTATTGGTAATGACATTAATAACCAATAGTGATATTTGCCAGTTATGGTTAGCTAATGCTACAGCATCTTATTATACTCTGCAAAAGAAAGAAAATCCAGTAGTTGTGCACCCTGGGGGAGAGCAGTGCTCTCACCTGAGCGCCCGGGACTGCTGATACGCAACTTCCTTCTCTTCTTGGGACGATCGCAATCCTTCCTGCACGTTCTGCACTTCATCTTGTTTGTTTTGCAGTTCCGTCGTAAGCTTTTTTATTCTATATAAGTCAATAAAATAATGAGGAAAGTATTATTATTGCACTACTAACCAATCTCTGTTGTTGTGTTGGCTTTAAAGTGAAAACTTACTGAAAGTAGTAAAGATGACGACTGCCTTTATTTCGACCTGAGTTAACAGACTTTCAAATGGAGCGTCTCTACTCTCCGGCACGCTCTGTGAGACACTTTGCAGCACATCCCTCAGAATAACACTCAGAATGTGTTTGGAAAGCAATATGGACATGTATGTGCAGTATCACGTCACATGTGACGTATAACTATCTTAAGAATCCACTGTTTATTCACACTTACAACACAGAAATACCTTATTGCTTAAATTATACTCACTAATATGTTTTAATCTAATATTTTTTAAGTCACAAGGGCATGAAAGAGCAAGTTCTGTGCTTGGAGGGGCACAGAGAGCTCTCCCAGGCTGAGGGGGAAGTTGTCTCAAGGCAGCCAGCAGGGAAAGCTAAATATTTGGTCACGCTCTCCATAGTTTCCCCCCAGCCCCTTCGTTCAGGGTGTTCATTTATTTGTGAAGTCCAGGCACTTGCAAAAAACAAACCAAACGAATCCAAGTTAGTCACGAATCCAGATTAGTCACTTTCCCTTTCCATTTACGCTCAGTTTCAAATTCTTGTTCCTGAGCACTGAGCAACGCTTCTGCCTTGGCGAGGCAAACAAAAGAAAGCACTTGGCAACAATAAATAAAGCACCAAAAGCAGAATTCTGCATGTTATTTTTGCCCTAACACAGTCGTTCTAAAGAGCTGAAGGGCAAAGTCCCCACTGCCTGCTCCAAACCCCGTGCCCCGAGCGCGTTCAAACCAGGTGTCTAATAAGTCTAAGAGGGAAGAAGCACCTGAGCACGGAGGGTCTCGTTTCGATAAAGCTGCTCCCCTCCTAAACCCGAAACACCTCCCGGGAGCACCGTGCAAGGGACTGTAGGGACTGGCTCCTTGTCAGCACGAAACAAGTATCTGAATCCGCAAATATTTTACTAAGCTGGAGGGTGGTGGAAGCACTACAATAGCAATTGCTTCGAATCTAAAAGGCAAGCTATAAAATGCTTGCTTCAAATCTAAAAGCAAAAGGAAATGATAATAGTCTAGCGTTAAGACAGTTTAGAGTCAAAATAATAGTTTAGAGCTAAAATAATTAATGTGTATTCATGTTATCTGATGGATTGTCTATAACGCACTTGTAGCAAAAGGCAAGCTATAAAAATATCAGGTCTGATAAAAGAAAATAAAATAAATGTTGGATCTGTACAGCTCTGTCAAACCTATTTTTGTCTTAATTGAGATCTCTGAAAAACTCATAGAACTGATTAAAAAATCTGCACTGCCGGCATTGAGGAACAGAATCAGATCGATTCCTCTGACTAACAGAGAGATGAAAAACATCTTCAGAGTCTTGTAAATTCAAATCTTCTTTTGTAGGCAATATATCCTGTTAACTAACCTTGAGGAACAAATGCAGTGATTGTCAAAGACTAACAAATCAAAGCTTCTGGAACCATGGATGCCAATTTTCTATTCTTATTCATTCCAGAACGGGCAGCATTTCAAGATCTTTCAGTGTAAAGCTCACAAGTACAGACACTCTCTTTCTCTTGCTATTTGGTTTGATATCACACAGTTCTCTCACAATTGTGTCCGTGTTATCGATGCCTTCTGGGCAGTTCCATACAAAGGAGGAGGTGGACAAGTCAAGACAGTCCCATTCCGTCCACTGTCGTCACCGTAAAAAAGGAGCAAAACAGACATGTTATTTTGGTGACATTTAACACAAAAGAAAGAAGTTCAATGGATCATTAAACACTGGAATTAAAGCCGAATCCTGAGAACACAGTGATCGAGGCCTCAGCCCTGCACTTCACACGAACTGTGAAAATTAACGCCCTGTCTTTGCAGCCAGAACACTTTCTTAGCAAACATAGGAGGAAGCCTGCAGCGTGGGAGATGAATTATAATACGTTAACAACTAGTGCTGACAATGACAAGAATAGCAGGAGAAAATAAAGTAGCCGCCGAGAGGGATTCTTGCCAGCAAACAAATATTCTCATTGTCCCGAAGTACTGACAAGAGCAATTACCACGTTTTCTCAAATACAAGATGTTGCATTTCACAGAAGCTCAAAATCTGAAAACAATAGCTACATCTCTGCATACTATAGAGCCTAGAGCCCCTTGAAGTGTCCCAGGAGGCTCCACTTTATCCTGCATCCATTGTTACCTGAGGTCGGCGAAGAGTGTGCACACAGAGAAAGCTGGAGAATATGGTCAATGAGGGGGAAAAAAAAAAAAAATCTTTCCCTCCAGTATTTTCAGCTTCATGAAACTCTAGGACTTGCTCAAGGCCAGTTCCATTTGCTCTTCTTCATTTCAGCGTGTCTTTTTGAATTAGTATGCAACCCTTGTACACTACTTTTAGACAGCTCGAGTTGCAGAATAAAGTAGAATTAAACACAAAAAGCCAGAAAAAAAGTGTAGGACCTAGTATGTGCTCATTCCCCAGCAAGGGAAAGAAGAAAAAAAGAAAAAAAAGAAAAAAAACAAACACCACCCGGACACTTCCGCTGGGAAAGGATCCGCGCAAGCCCACGGCCTCGTCGTGCGCAGCGGACGCCTCCCGCCAGGTTATCCCAACCCCTCTCCCCCCGGCTGCTCCCCAGGGACTCGCAGGGCGCCGCGGCGCTGCGGGCAGGATCGCTCGGGTCCCCGTCGCGGGCTCCTTCCTTGCAGGGGGTGAGCGATGCTCAGCCCTGGTGAGGCCACATCTGCAGTATTGTGTCCAGTTCTGGGCTCCACAGGACAAGAGGGATGTGGAGCTGCTGGAGAGAGTCCAGCGCAGGGCCACAAGGATGATCAGGGGCCTGGAACACCTGTCCTGTGAGGAGAGGCTGAGGGAGCTGGGCCTGTTCAGCTGGAGAAGAGAAGGCTGAGAGGGGACCTGAGCAGTGTCTAGAAGTACCTCAAGGGAGGCAGCGAGGATGTGGAGTCTCCTTCTCTGGAGATCTTCAAACCCACTTGGACGCAGCCCTGTGCCGCGTGCTCCAGGTGACCCTGCGTGTGCAGGGGTTGGACTGGATGACCTCGAGAGGTCCCTTCCAGCCTTAACCATTCTGTGACTCTATGATGCACCCGATGCACCGTCCCGCGGCCGTGATAACGCTCCGCTCATTGCTCACGCGTTCCGAAACAGGGAGGAGACGTGGGAGTCTCCCGCGTCGCCCACGCACGACAGCAGCGCTCAGAAGCCCCGAGCACATACCCTAGAGCGTATCTGAAACTGCCTGAAATTATTCATTTCCTTACATAGCTGCTTATGTTTGCCAGTAAGAAACTGCGTCTAGAAATACCACTGATATTTTAAACGGATCATTCATACCTTGCTCCAAGCTTCGAGGTAGGAAGGGTTCATCTAACTCTTGTATTGCTTAATTGGTGAAAATCTTCCAAATAATTCTTTCCCATCACAACACTGCAAGCATTAGACTTCTGACAAATAAGAAAAAGCAAGTACATATCCCACTGCACTTAGATGACTTAATGACTGATAAAAAGGAAACATTAAGAAGAAAAACAAAACCTGGCAGCATTTGAAAGTACTCTATAAGGCATAAATTCTAAGGAAGGTCTGTTTGTAACTAAAATAGAGCTGAGGATCTCAGGATTTTAAGTACCAGAGACGTTTAGTAGGACCGTATAGACCACCTGGAGCAAATGAATCTTTAATGGACTAGTTCAGTCTTCAAAGCAACAAAGTTCAAAAGACAAACTAAAGTACTACCAAGGGCCATAAAACACAAGACCTGTCTAACGAAGCCAAACTCTTCCACAACACGCTGAGTTTTCCTGTGGAAAAGTAAGCGGGTGGGAAGGAGCTCACACCTCCCCACTGCTACTGATGCCAAAAAAATCCCACTGCTCAAGTTCCCTAATGGGAATCAACAGCTGGAAGCACCACAGGAAAACCGAAAAACTCCAAGGTGCAAGGCAAGGAGAAGAGTCACAGTGACCTGCATGGTTTAGATATCTAGCCATGTGAGCATCTTTCTAAACTCCGATATTGCAACAACTTATCTGGTTAGATAGTCTACAATGGCAAGGAAAATGCCAAGAATTTTGAAAGGATTGATTGAATTTAAACATGAATCTTCTAAAAGATTTCAATCTTCAAAAAGTAAAAAAAAAAAAAAAATCTGACCAGCTTTGCTTTCTCTGAGGTTGGACATCCTGTCCCCTTTCACTTCCCTTGGGTCTCTTGGGCAGACCAGTGCCCAGAACTGTCTTGCCTGCCCAAGCCTGTAATAACCCACGCTGCACCTTTCCACACCCTGCACTGACACACCAGTGCTATCAGACACCAACTTGGTTCAAGCAGTCTCAGACACAATGTACTGATATATTTCTTCAGGAGAAAAAAAAAAAGTCCTAACCTAAATATAATCAAAATACCAAATAGTTTATAATAAGCATCTATTTATCTACACCAATTGCCACGTTACAAAGCTTTTTTCTATGGCTTGACTACTAGCGTGGCCAAGTATATGAATTCCAAAGAAAATAAACTACATGGCTTGCAATATTTCTAATATGGAAAAGTATTTTCCTTCCTAGTAAAGGGGAAAGTTTGGGTGATATTTCTCAGTGCTGAAGCTTCCATCTTTGCTTCTCAGAAAGACCAAAAATACATGAAAAATGATATGGGCTTCTAGTCAGGAAGATGTCTATTTATGACATGTTTTGTACTGGTGGAATAAACTGTACTTCAAGCTATGTTCCCCAAATTCTGATGCTGCACATCTGGTACAGCTCACCAGCACGCAGCCCAGGGAGATTGCTCAATCTATACAAATACCTTCTCAGTGTCCCAGCGAATCAGAACCAGTAGCTGGACCAAACGAGCCACTATAAACAGTGCTTTCTGGATCACCTAATCAAAGAGATTTTATAGAAAGACAGAGATATGAGTTATCTGTATCTTAAGTCAAGTTCAGAGCTAGATGAGGCAGAAAGTAACTCATTTTTAAAATTACATATTTTTCCAAGGAAGTGGTCTGATGGCAGACTACAACAGGCAGAATTAAACACACACAGTGCAGTTAGTTTTCGCATTCTGAAGTTATTTACTGTTTATCCGACTGTCTTTGTCGCAAAGAGATGGCATCTGGTCAGATCAGCTTAATGCAAGGAAAAGAATTTACTCCGTAGGATACATTAGACCAGTGCCGCTGCAGAATGCTGTGAGCTAAATATCTGCCACCCATACCAAAGCACAGTTAAGGTCAAAACACCCACTATCTTTAGGTAAAGACAATATTCATAAGTGTGGAAAAAAAAGAAAAAAAAAAAGTTGTCTTTTTTTTTTTTTTAGTGCTGCATTCTGGCTTAGCTTGCTTCAATGAGCAATACAGCCAAATGGAAATGATTTAAAAGCTATACAAACAGATGCAATACCAGCAGACTACCTCGGCAGGGTTATTTTCATACATCTAACATGAAAAGCTTGTAATAGTTTAGGAAAGGAGAAGGAAGGTCTTTATTTCACTGCTCACTGCATCCAGTTTTGGATCCTAGCAATTTTGATGCCAATTCTACTTTATCACTAAATATTCATCAGAACTACCGTGCTACAATTTTAGGCCTCACCACGTCATTTAGATGCTGCTACTTTCCTGAACAATCATATTGTAGGAAAAAGTTATTTTAAGCAAATTCATCAGCAAGGCATTTTCTGTGGCGTTAAATGTCGTCAATGTAGTAAGGAACTAAAACTCAAGGTGTAGAACCCACGAAAACCCCAAAAAACCCCAAACCCACAAATATGGAGAGAGAGACTTCCCACAAGCCAAGAGGTGAGGTTTACATTACTTTTAATACTTGGTTATTTATAGATAACATCTCCCACATCTACACACCTTGCTCGGGAGCACGCGGCTCGTGATAGTCACTAAGGCAAAGCTCCCTCTCATCAAGCTCCTAAGGGCTTCGGGATTGCATTTAAAGGCCTCTGTGACATACACCTCCGTAAGTGCTATCTATATAGCTCGTTAGGTGTGCATTATAAAAACTCAACCAAAAAACCATTAAACCATTGCTCTTGCTGATGACAACTAGTATCTCACACAGGACTGCGGTGCCGAGCTGGCCGTATCACAGCGGGCGGCTCCTGGGGGTGTTGGGGAATTACAGCGATTTTAACACGGAGGGAGCATTTTCCCACAAAATACAACCTAAGAACAAGGTTTGAAGAGCTCAGTGGCCCCGCGCAGTCCCCTGCACGGCGCTCAGCTCCCCCGGTCTGGCCAAGTCTCCCGGCTGGTTTCCTCGCACGCTAAAGCTCCGGGTGGCTTTCAAGGTTAACCACAGGTACAAGCAGCAGCAATCACCTAACCTTAAGGGAATACAGAAATGAAATAGGCTCATCTAGCAGCAAAGATTAAATCTAGCAGCCTTCCGAAGATGAAACAAGACACATGTGGCTGCTGAGAGAAAACTGCCATTTGGGAGGAAAGATTTGCCAACCATGCAGGAACCAGGAGAACAACGGGATGTTGATTAGTTGGTTTATGCCAAAGGCACCAGGTAACAAGAGAGGCCCGGGACGGGAGAGAGCAGATAAGGAATATTCAGACAGGTTCTTAGCAAGGCACAATAGCTGATTTATGGCCTTGGTGAAAGCCTCCTCAAAGTATTCCTTTGGATTTCAGCAGGTTTTAAATCAAGCCAAACCTGAGGGGAAAAATGCAGAGATAAAGGTGTCATTAACTGCTGGAGCCTTGCTACAAAGCCAGCTGAATGCAAGTTTTAGTCTACCCGCAAGAGCGATTCGCAGCACGGCGGCGCTGGGTGCTGCTGCCCGCGGGTCACTCAACCTCCATCCTGTGTTATCCCTGCAACTGCCACCCAGAGCCACCCAAGTAACGAGGAGCAAACGCACTCCTCAAAACCAGACCTAAACCAAAGCAAACGGTGAAAAACTGGGAGGCTCAGCGCACACTCACGGCACAAAATGAAAAAAACAAAAGTTGCATTATGTGAGTAGACGGATCCACTGTATATACAAGGGCACTGTTCAACTTTGTGAAAACTTCTGCATTTTGAAGTGAAGGTTTATTAGAAATATTATCCCAAAAAATTCTACTTCCAATAGTTGTCATGTTCAATCTTGGAGTGTAAGCGGTTGAGGTGATTAAATGGATTATAAAGTGTTCATCTTTTTCAATGAAAAGGATTGAATGCATGGATTATAAAGGACTGCATCTGTAAATATTCCATACATTTCTTCTTTAGCATCTCCAACATGTTCAATTCCAATTCTTTGAGAGCACCTTAATGTCCAAAAGTGCTAAATATTATCAGTTTAAATCACAGCCCATGACTATGGGTCAATTACACAAGAAACACCACAACTAGGAGTTATTAGAAACAAAATGATGACTGACGTGATATTTAAGATTATAGTCTCATTCCTAGAAAGAGCTTCTGACAAACAGTTTCATTCAGATGAGAAAGGAATTGCCCAAGAAGCTTCTCAAGCAATTGCATTTTTATAGTTGATAATTAAACATACTTCCTTTATAAACGTAAATATTTACATTCAGATTTTAGTCCCACTGTAAATAATGATTGGAATATAGTAGTAAATTTCAAAGTAAAGGAGATAAAAATCAGGATACAGAAAAAGTTAAGTCTGATTATGGACAGTAGAAGAAAGCAAGAGCAGGTTTTGGAACTTAAGGATTAGAAGAAGCCCAAACACTTGCATTTCTTTCATAGCAGAAGGATACAATATTTTGTTATAAAATCTGTTATACTGTCGTGGCATCATAGAATGGCCTAAAAGCGACAGAAGGTTAAACAGAAACAAGAGATAGTCAGAAATTGTACAGCAACAAAGAGACAAAAAAAGCCTACCCTAAATGCTAACACTGTCACAACATATTTGTTTTGATTATAGTGAGTTTGATATAACAAGTCCTAGTTTTTTATGCAGCATAAATAACCTCCAAGGATGGTCAAATCCAAACCACCAGGCTAACTCGACACTCGCTCAGGGTTCAGACTGAAGGCACAAAACAATCAATCAAACAAAGCCCAGAAGAGGGCAGGTATTTTCGAGGTATGACTTCATGTCCTAAATTTAAAATCGTCGCGCAGTGACAAATAAGAAGAGACAAAAGCAGGCTTGCCTGTGTTAGCTGAGAGAGCCCTAACTCCATAGGCAGGTCCCTTTTGAGGAACCCAAGATGTTCCTAACTATTTTTACTATATGTTATCCTTTCAGACTGTGAATTGTAAGCTTCTCAGTGTAGAAATTCTGATCTTTTACCATATTACTGCACCACTGTGAGCATGGCAATAAGTAGAAACTTCAGGACTGTGAAATTCCTCACACTCTGAGGTTTCATTTAAATAGTTACTATTCTGTAATAAAAATATTTGTAAGATGAAACATTTAATCATTTCCCCTTTTGTGAGGAATGGGGAGAAGGGAAGGTGGAAATACCTCTGAAATACCTCTTTTTTGTTGTTAAATATATTGACTGTAACTAAATTATTCAAAAATTCAAGATTTGCTTCTAGACAATAATTCAAAATATGATTTAAATCAAGTGTTATGGTATAGAGGTTATACCCGACAAAAGCCAGGGAAAGCTTTTTTTTTTAAAAAAAAAAACAACTTCTTTGGAATGAGATTAACTAGTACATAAACATGAGAATAATATCAGACTACGTAACACACTCTGACCTTTCTGCTTTTGACTGACTGTCAGCTCGACTGTGTTCAAGGTCTTGGCAAAGTGTCTGCAGTTCTTCCTGGAGACGTTTTTCCCGCTCTATACTTCCTTTATAAAATTTAATCTCCTTTTCCATTGCTTTTACTTTTTCTTCCATCACCTTAAATTCATGAAGTATCAAATAGCTGACTCCGCAGTATTTACAAACTGTCTCATCCCGGGGCATCTAGAAAAAGAGAAAACACATGTAAGAAATAGGTTGAACAAAAATAAAAGACCGGGTGACTGTTAACCGTAATTCTGTCTGGCTTTAAATGTGTACTGTAGTGCAGCACTTATGACCACACGTTGCTATTGTTTTATTAATTAATAAACACAAAACTCATTAGCAAATGAAATCAAGCTACAACAGTACTTTTGTTTATGGGAAACCACACAAGATATATCAGTTCTGCAGTTTACTCCATACAAACTCCCACGTTGGAACCCTAAAAATAAATCTTGAATTATGCTTTATCTATTAATTTTAAAATAATTGTTCTATGTTTTACAATATTATTTCCTTAATGAACATTTGATTGCTTGAGCCAGCAAGAAGGTAATTTGCTGTGTTTTTGATAACTCATATCCAATTAAATAGGCAAGCTGGAAAGTGGATAGAGTGATGTAACCCAGCAATCTTCACAAAAATAATTCGAGTGAATAAGGGAATAATTTGTGTGATGTAGTGTGTATGGCACTTGAGTGCTGTGGAAAATGTAACCAGTTTGCTAGATATGAAGCATTCATCACAATTTTAAAAATACAGCACACAGAATGGATGTCTAACGAAGACCATTCCTTAGATTGAGAAACACATCTGAAGTGATGAAATACTTGAGCAAAGCTCACTAAAAGGGACAGACAGACATGCTCTAGCTTCTACTCGCACACTGCTCAGTATATGAGTTATTCCTGGGTATTTTGATCCCTTTCACTTCCTGAAAACAGACTGTTTGGTTTACAAGCGATGCCAAACTGAACTTGCATGAGAAACAGATCCATTTAGTAACACTGGGCCTTACTTAATAACATTACTTGTCATTTAAGAGAATATTTATAAGGACACATATTTCACTTCAACAGAAAGACCTTTCTGGAAGGCCCTACATTATGCTATTTTTATTAACTGATCTATCACTAGCACCCAAACAGGCTGCATCCCGAGTTGGGCTTTATACACACTTCAAAAAGCAAAGAGTTGTTCTGAGAGTTCAAGGTCTGCAGTTTCCATCCCTTTTCCTACGAGAAGACTGTAAGAAGGAGAGAATCACAACCGGAGCTCAGCCGATTGGAAACGGGACATTCAGGTAGGATAGGGATGGCATTTGCAGCCATGCAGCTGGATAATATCACTTAAATGATATGTGGAAGGCAAACGGGGGGAGCTGGACCACAAGAAATAACGAAAAGCGGGAGAACAAGCGTTGTAGCCTGTGGATCAGGCTAAAAACACTCTGCTGCCCTCCTTGCACCTAGCAGCAACTGTAGGGATTGTGACAACAACTTACGAAAGACAAAAAGCTGCAAAAATGCCAACAGTTTAGCATATACACATATATAATATATATACACATATCTTGTTGCAGAAAAAAGTATTTTGAAATACTGGGATCAACCGAAAAAAGTCACACTTAGATGAAAGAATATTTTTTTCAAAAATAACAAATATTCATTATTTCATGATTCAATAATCTTCATCACTTTAAGCACAGCTCGATAAAAATGCTATTTCAGGATACCCTGGGACTACCGGGCCAAACTAAATTTTCCAATTTCTTACTTTTGTCCCAGTATAAAATAATCTTAGTTACAGTTGCTCTGAATGAACTGAAAATTCAAGTTTATTTTTCCTGGCAGTTACAGACTGTGCTTGGAAATATGAAACTGTTATTCAGAATAAATACCATAAAGTTCCAAAGAACTAAAATTACTATATTGAAAGAGGACAAAATGAGCTGTTGTAAGGAGGACAGGAGGGGGGCTCTTATCCCAGTAAGAACATTGTGCTCTCTTGCAGCAACACCACTTCTGTCTTTCAAATAAACAGTCCTAGAAGTATCACTGGTACCAGAATAAAAAAACAATCAGGGCCTGAAATGAAAGTGTTTAAGCAAGCACTAAAGCCTTTTAACTTCAAAATGCACTTATCTCTTTCAGTCTTGTTGTTGAACTTGAAAACAAAGTTGGGGAACAATAAATCATTTCCACCTGCACTTAATGGGAATGGTCCCATTCTTCTTCTCATTGATTCCCTCTGAATATCCCTAGGAAAGCAGTTCTATAAACTAGTGCAGAGCATGTTAAGCCATTGACTATTCAGGAGCTAGTGTCCAAATAATCATGAGAAGGGAGGATTCATCAGTGAAACTGCTATTAATTTTGGAATGAATTCTGCTGATTTCATTGCTTCCCCAACATTTTTAAATTCCTTTTTTAAAGACTGGTAAGGTGACCTCAAGTTTTAAATTGGAATATAAGGAGAAATATAAATACTTCTGTCTGAGAAGAACTCCTTGTTAGTCGTTCCTGAAGTTGCAGGCCCGAGCAAATAGAAGTGAAGGCTCATAATGAACCATGGGAAAAGGAAATCCAACCAGGACGCAGAACGGCATCTGACATTTCATAGAGCAAATGTGAATCAATCACAAAAAAAAAAGGTCATTTTCAAAGCTGAAATACTTCAGGGTGGAAAATCAAGCACTGATGCTGCTATTTACCCAGCCTCTGTTCTGTAGGTGTTCCTCATGAAGTTGTGCTGCACGTTGGGGGTTTGGAGGCTGCGCCACGGGCTCCTGCAGCGCCGCGTCTTCCCCGCTGCCGTTCTCCAACCATTTGTGAACCAGAATGTTTGGCCAGTTACCACCAAATCTGACAGCGAGGGCAGAAACGTTTAACGTTCTGAAATGTCAGGCAACCAGCCTGGGAGAAAAAGGCTTTATACAGCCCCTACTGAAGAAAACTTGGCACGTAAGCACAGTGTTTAAATATCAATCTATACAGGAGAGAGCTTTGCATATGCTCTGTCCAGGAGAAGTTATCATTAGAGCTTGCATCACCATAAGCACCAAGATGCAAATCTATAGGAAACAAATTTGCACTAGTCCCTCGCCTTAAAAAGCTACTTCTTGTGGAAGAGTATTATCTCCGAGTTATCTTTATAGAATTTATGTTTTAGGTCTCCATATATACAGAGATCTCTACATTTTAGGTTCGTATTTGGTCAAAAGGCTGTTGACATCATCTCAAAAGCAAAATATGGAAAAAAAAAATCATGGAAAAAACAGTTTAGAAGGAATAGAAAAAGACCAGAGTTGTAATTAGAAAAGAGGCTGTATATGCCCTCAGAAACCAGACTAAGCAGTGGACAGCAAAAGAAATAACCAATTAGGAACTTTAAAACAGAAGATATTTTAGCATTATATTTTTGGTCGGCCCACGCAAGGAAACTCTGGGCAAACAAGGCATGAAATGACTATATAGAGAGATACTAAAAGAAAAATTGCTATTTGAGTTAGCATGACGATACTGCACGCATGACAAGAACGGAGAGAAGGACAAAGACAAACGCACTGAGGACAACGCGCTTACGCCAGAAACACCTTCGATCCATACGGCTTCGAGCTGCACCCCTGCTGCACGCTGCAGCAGATGCTGCCGAGGCAGGAGGGGAGCTCCACGGGGAACAAACCGGACCTCAAGGTGGTATTTCTGGCTGTGACACTGGAGCAGCTGTTCCACTACAGCATCTGTGGGAGTAGTTTCAAGTCAGAGCTGCGTTCGTTTCTGGAGGAACTAACATTATTCCATAGTTACACAGATTTCTTTAGCTACCAAGGGCAAGTGGAAAACGGAGCCAGGATGGATAGTCACTCGAATGACATCTGCCTGACTCAATACTACAGGCATCTGCAAAGCAGAAGTTCTAAGGGAAGGAGGACTTTGCCAGGCTGGCCCATTTTTAGCCTTTTGAATAACAAGCTTCTTTTCAAGCTTCTGAAATGACAAGATAGGAATTTATATCATTTCTACTTGACTGAATAACCATAGGGAACATAGGCTTGGGCACTGCTGCTCCTCTGATAGTTCAGATTCCACTGGCAAATATTAGAACCTTACAGAATAAAGAGCTAAGTTCTTGTCAAAAGAAGAAAAACCAACCTCCTTCTCACTTAGGAGCACCTCAGTGTTCCCAGGCCCAGCACATGCACCTGCAATACCAAACAGCCACTTATGAAAAGCTTATGAACAGACACTGCTCTTAAAAGCCAGAATCTCAGTCCTCAATTAATGAGATGCTTTTAAAGCTTTGAGTATGTTACTAGTGCCAGTGGAATTAAAACTTAGAGCCACGAGCACAGATGAACTCCTTGAACACCTTAAACAACAAATCTAAACAACACACAACACCCCAAACCCACCAAAGTACAACAGCACAAAGGGGCAGCTGGAGCTGTTATTTTTGTAGACCGTTTTCTTCCACCTCCAGCTTGATTCTCCTTCACTGACACTTTCTTCTCCTTTTGCTCCTTCTCCATATTACTTTCACTTCCCTCATGCTACTTTTCTCCATCCTCACAAATTCAACAACCCCTTCTTTACACACAAAATTGTCACCTGAGCCACGTAATTCACATTCCCAGAGGAAAGCGGCGTGCTCTGCTGCACACATTTGATGGAAATGATTGAGTTCTGTGCTCAAGGAAAAAAAATAATAAATAAGAGGACCAGGATTGCTACGGAAGCTTCGCTTCTATGTGGATTTGCTCCTCTTTTACAAAATAGGAGGTGCATGGCCTGATCCCGATATCTCTGTTTGCTGGACAACGTGAAGCTCTAGCATCCATAGGCACAACCGCATCTGCAGGATGAGGGCTCACACCAAAAATAACCTGGGGTTTTCAAACATTTCCTAAGCTCGTTGCAACCACTGAGAACATTCCCATAGCCAGAGCTCAATAAAAGCAAAATGCTAGAAATTCTATAGCCGAGTTCTGCAAATCCCATCAAATCCAGGGGCTATTTATGAACGTTGTCTCAAGAAACACTCGTAGGGTGCAGGTCAATAAGGATGAAAGCATCTCCTGCCATTTTGCATGCCAATGCCACAGTGCTCACCTGGAGGCCATGGGAAATTCCCATGCATGGGAATACTGCTGCTTCCAACTTTGGATCAATACTGAAGCC